TCCCTTACATCGGAATTTTTTCAGAAACATCTGATTTTGCCCAATTTTGCTAATATATGCAAGGTTCACACCTTACAATTTGAGATTTTTCATACAAATCTGATTTTTCCCAATTTCGCTAAAAATGCAAGGTGAACCCCTTACAATCTGAAATTTTCCATAAACACCTGATTTTGCCCTTTTTTGCTAAAAAATACAAGGTTCACCCCTTAAAATTTGAGATTTTTCATATAAATCTGATATTTCCCAGTTATGCTAAAAATGCCAAGTTAACCCCTTACAATCTGCAATTTTCAAGAAACATCTGATTTTGCCATAATTTGCTAAAAAAAGCAAGGTTAACCCCTTTCAATCTGCAATTTTCCAGAAACATCTGATTTTGCCCTAATTTGGCAAGGTTAACCCCTTACAATCTTTGATTTTTCCCAATTTCGCTAAAATGCAAAGTTAACCCCTTACAATCTGAAATTTTCCATAAACACCTGATTTTGCCCTATATTGCTAAAAAATGCAAGGTTAACCACTGACAATTTGAAATTTTTCATAAACATTTCAATTTTCCCAATTTTACTAAAAAAGCAAGGTTAACCCCTTACAATTTGAATTTTTCATACACATCTTATTTTGCCAAATTTCACTAAAAAGCAAGGTTAACCCCTTACAATCTGAAATTTTCCAGAAAGATCTGATTTTGCCCAATTTCGCTAAAAAATGCAAGGTTCACCCATTACAATTTGAAATGTTTCATAAACATCTAAATTTTACTAAAATGCAAGGTTAACCCCTTAAGCTGCAATTTTCCAGAAACATCTGATTTTTCCCAATTTTGCTAAAATGTAAGGTTAACCCCTTGCAAACTGTTCAATCAATACATGAAGTGTCCCATTTGACTTTTTTAAAACAAATTATTTTTCCAGTTTTTAGGGTAAAGGAATTTTCTCTTTTTCCTTTCTCTTTTGTTGTTGCTATATTTTGCGAATTAACTCATTCGTATGGAATGCTCATAGTCAATCAAAGAATATTTCACACATAGGGGCCTAAATTATATTTTTTTAAAATTTAATAGAGACGCAATGATCGTGCTATCATATACCATTCTATTACTATTGCGAATTACTGTATTGTTTGGAATGCTCACAATTAAAGACACCTTATTTGAAAGATGTATAAATAATATTTATATTACAATGTACATCTTTATTCTTTCCCGGTATAATTTATGGCGTTTCTTACGTCAATTGGCAATCGCGTCATTATATAATTATAGTCAAATTGAGCAAACGAAACTCCGTTTTGATTATAGTCAATTATGAAATATTCATTGATTTATGACATACACCTTTGTTTCAATTTTGATACTACCCGTAGACCTGCCGAGCAGCTGTAGATATCAAACTAAACCAAAGTATAAAAGATAGAGGGTAAAAAAAATCAAAAAGTTATGTGCTAGTCAAGCTTTCAGGGATCGGTCTGAGCCATAACAATGCCCCAGCCGATCCCTTAGTTCTCTTCCGGGGTCTCGGCGTCCCCGACCAATACACACTTCCTTCCCTATCCATCCATATAACCCCGGAGGGCCAGGCACCATGTAAAAGCAAAGAGCTAAGGGAGGAACAGGGCGGCCCCTAAGCCCTGATCCTCCGAGTGGACCACATGCCCTGAACCTGTACGAAGGCGCCAACCTGGAACTCGCGGACAGTACCAGCAGCAGTGCTTACCGATTAAGCTAAGGTACTGTTGGTACTTTACGACGGGAAATTAAATCTCTTATAGTAAATGATTGAACTCATACGTTAAAAACCAAAAAGACACCAGCGGGATTCGAACCCGGGACCCCGCTAACTGTGGACGACGAATCGTAACCACTCGGCCATTTCGTTACCTTAGAATTCTCTTTAAACTGAGAAAAGTTGTCTTTATAGGTGAGCAAAAGCGCCAGGAAGATTACTGGGTCCATTTGCTTTAGCTCCATGGGCGAAAACAAGTCGATATTTGAGGAATAATGAGCCCAGTGTGTTTGATTTGTTAGGAAGTTGTATACCGCAGCCTAATGTGCAAAACAACCGTGTGCTAGGCGGATCATTTACACAACAATGAACACTGCAATTGTGTATTTCAAAAGGCAGGCGCGTAGATTTTTACTCTTTGTATCTCGGCACATATAGATTCTCACCTCCGCCTTCAACTACTTCGACTTTCTTAAAAAGAAAAATATAGACTGCCAGCGATTCTTCGGGAGTTCAATAGACCTCAGACTCAGTAAAGTTCGACATCGGGCTCTTTTTCAACAGCTGTTTTTGCAGAAACTTTCGATTAATATTGTCAGAGGAGACGAAATTAACAGTTTTTTTATGATGAAAAAAGTTATGCAATAGTTTCACGGACTTAAAGCATGCACACGCAATACGTCGGCATAATGTATGCCCAAGACTGTAATTATGAACATGCAAGGCTGTCCAGCCCCCCCCCCCCATCCACCCCTACCCAACCCCCGCGCTTTTCGAATTGGCAATATTAGTCCGGGAGAGGTTTAATCATAATTTCGAGTGCAAAAGGTTTGAAGTGTGGGATATGTAGGAGTGACTGAGACAGCTGCAAAATGGGATTTCTTAAGTTGCTTAAGTTCTTAAGTAGGATTCACGGACTTAAAGCATGCACACGCAATACGTCGACATAATGTATGCCCAAGACTGTAATTATGAACGTGCAATCATGTGTTTGTCCTCCCCCCCCCACCCCTACCCACCCCTACCCCACCCCCGCGCTTTTCGAATTAGCAAAATCAGAGCACTAAAGTTTATGACTATTATATCGTCATGATCCCCTTCTCTACACAAATTTACGCCACTGCTTGATTTAGTATAGGCATGGGCGTCGCCAGGGAAAAGCACATTTCCTCCCGAAATACCTGTACTCTTCCAGCATACTCTCGAGTTATCATTTTTCGAGGGTGGGCAGGGACATTTACCCCCCGCCGCCCCCTCCGAACCAGTTAAATAAACTGCAGTACGACCTCGCGTCTCTTTTACTGTTCTTTCTCCCACTTCGGTTGCCCGTGCCCCTGGATGCCCCCCCCCCCCATTTGAAACCTTGAAATGAACAAAACATTATACACCGCGCTATCGAAATAAGCGCTTGCATGGACTATATGCACACGTAGATTGGCCTTTATGAGTCCAAAAACGAAAAAGGCAAGCGGCAGTTTTTCGTTGCCCTCTCAAACAAATGTGTGCTTCCCCAGGTTCCCCCCAGATGTTTCACCCCAGTTACGCCCCTGCCCCTTGCCCCCCCCCCCCGCGACGCCCATAGGTTGTACAAGGGCTCTACCTAGAACGTCACATTATATGAACATGACGGAGTCTGTCAAAAATGTTTGTTGTAGTGGTCGTTTGTTGTAGTGATTGCGAATTATATAGGTTTTCCCGGCTATTTTAAAACATGTTTCATTCAAATTCACCAACTGTCACATTCAATTTCGTCCGAGAAAAAATAGCACGCTTTTAGCAAACCAATATTTAGTCATTTGCCATTCAATTTCAAAATTTTGTCACCCTCTTTAGTCACAGGGTCGCAAATTCGTCTCACATTTTCTGAATGGCAGCATTCAGAGATCGAATTCGTCTTAGCCTGTATAAATCAATTTAATAAATCAATTGTCTGACAAAAGACGAAATCAAACATTGGAAGTGCACTAAATCGATGTTGATGGATGCATTTGAATATTTGAAACGGTGAATTCGAATGATAAACATTTTAAAATAGCCTGGAAACCTATAAAACAATTTAAAATATACACATTAAAGGGAATGTTTGTGGTAGCCACAGTCATGATTGTTATAGCGGTGTTCGTTGTAGTGTAGTTTTACTGCATTATATTGTCTGATAATTCGAAATTTTCAAGTAGGTCCAGGCCTATATAATTATCACAAAACTAATCGTAACTTTTTGATGTCTCATTTAAAAGGCAAATGACGTTCGAACTTCTAGGAAAAGAAACTTGTGCAATAGTCCAGTTTTTATAGCTATTGGCAATCGACGCCCGCGGCATGTTATAGAGCCGATCTAGTACACCTGGTACCCTGCTGCCTCTGCACGGCAGGGGACAAAGTTGGAAAAGAAACACGCATCACGATATCGGAACGCTTGCGCTTAGTTCAGGCAAGTTAAAAGATCTATCTTTCTTTTCTTTTTTTTTTCTTTTTCCATGGAAAGTGAATTTCAATTTTCAATTATTTAGCTTGACCCACCCACCCACAATTAATCGTATAATCGTATAATAGTATTTAATGACGTTATCGGCACCGTACTCATTGTGGGTTGGCCAAACGAGTTTTATTCTTGATTATTTACATTGCGTACACCACCTACAAACTCAACCAAAGCAAAACGTTTGAAACCGTCTAGCTTTCATATTTTTAATTGGGCGGAATTTTTGGCTTATTCGGGAACAAAACTGCCCCCCCCCCCCCCCCCCCCCAAAAAAATTATGTTCTGCCGGAATTGTCCGGCATTACCAGCACGTTGTCGTAAAAGTTGGTACCTTGATCCGGTCTCAACTTTTTTTTCAAATGGGACTTGCGGTCGCTGCCGAAGTTAATTAAACCTGATGGGGAGTAATAAATAACCGTCTGGTATTTTCTACATGAACCCCCGGTGTAGGTTTTTTTTTTCCTGTACATTTTCAGATACCAACTTTTACGACAAGGTGTTACAGTGTTCCTCCCGACCCTCGATCTACGTTGTTAGCGGTACAAATAGTTGTAAATGAGTACAGGTGCACCCGAAACGACGCCGAAGTTTCGAAAACCTCATCCACAACGTTAAACATGGTCCAGAAGCCTATGGTAATAATATCATTTTGCACACACTTTGATACAGGCACCAGACTGCTTTAAAGGCCGCCCACTTTATTTTGATGGACGAATAACTTGCCCGCTAAATGACACGTGCTGTCCCTGGATGAATAGCCTGGGTCCAGACCAATTGCTGCACATATCAAGGCAACCGGCGCTTTTGTTGCAGTCGGCGACCAGATCACAACAATCGACCATGCCGTCTGGTGAAATTTAGGACATCCGACGGGGGCGCAGATTCTGTCGTGACCAAAATAGGTTTTTCCACGACAAATTTTCCATCATAACTTGCAGGAGTAAAAAGGTGGATGTCTGCCTTCAAACTAGGCATCGTCCGACTCGGTCGCGCAGCGGGAAAGGTGAGATTTAAGGGACCGACGCCCTCCATAAAAAAAATTATTGTTTGTGAATGTGACATTAACATGATTACAATGGATTAAAGGGCACTGACAGCGTGACTGTCGAATGCGGCATGTCATTGATTAGCCCCAAAAATGTGGCCAATTTACTGGACTACCTCCGTAAACATAGGCCACACATCCACATGTACAAAAATGGGCCCCCCCTTGCCAAATTTTGATTTTCACATTTAGGCTTACTAATTTGTAGGTTTTTTTTGCTTCAGAAGCATGTTGTGCCCATTCTTGAAAATCACGCATTCTCGAGAATGGGCGTGCACATTCTTGAGAATGTGCAACTGGATCCTTGCTCAATCTTGGCAAAAAATAACTCTTCCAGATTGAGCGCACATTCTCGAGAATGCGCGACAAGATAACGGTCTTGTCGATGCCGAGCACCGGCTGCGCTTGGCAAGTCTAGCTGAATCCTCGTTCACTGATTCTCAATAATTATACTGTTGCAACGCAAGGCGCTGAAAAGTAGAGTGGATATGATAAGTAAAGGCGTATTAATATGGGGGGGGGACCGGGAAAATATAAGAGACATAATAATACTAGTGCAAAGAATTCTGATTTTGGGATAATAAAAGCGGGGGGGGGGGGGGGGGGGGGACGTGTGCGGGGGGGGGGGGGGGGGGGAAGAATGAAGAATGTGAAGAATGAGAATGAATACTGCGACATCCCATAGTGCTAATGCTATTTCCCATTTAAATTGCCACCAATTTATTGTTCACATCCCACCATAACGTCGCAGAGCTGGATTCTATCTAGTCAAAAGAGCAATTTTGGCAGCTTCTGGACATCGTTTTTTTTTGTGGCACGCATATGATACATGCGGGGACTTGTAACTTGTCTAGCCTACACAAAGCACTTCCCAGACTAGCTCCCAGTCCTCCGTTATTACAAAACTTCCCATAGTGGGCAGAAAAAAAGCAATAATAACAGGTTTAATTTGATTCAAATTATCGTAATTATACGAGTACAGAAGCATAGCACATTTTCTTTCCTCTTTATATGAATTGTTTCCCTTTTAACCGCTATACAATTCATTTAACATAATTATGTCGTGCAATGTTTGTTAAGATTGGGCAAAATTCATAAATTGTGCACGTGATATTCCCAACCAATCTTAAGAATGAGCGCTCATTCTTAAGAACGCGTGCTCGTTCTTAAGAATGGGCGCTCATTCTTAGAATGCGCGCCCATTCTCGAGAATGTGCATGCCCATTTTCGAGAATGCGTGATTTTCAAGAATGGGCACAACAAGCATACTCGCCCTCTTTACATGCTTTTTATAGGCTAGGAAAGTGCTGCCTTTTTCAGATGTTAAATTTTCACAGTCGTGAAAATGTGTTATGCTGAGTGTGTTATGCTGATGTTCTTTCCAGACTTTGCAAATTTAACGATTGTCGTAAATTTGTCTTTTTTTCCCCACAGATGAAATACTCACTCCTGGATGAGCAAGACATTTCTCTTGTGGAACGTTATGCATTTGAGGTGCGTCATAAATTCTGATGAGCATCTTTTTATTAAAGAGTTAAATATTAAATACACTAGGTGTGTTTCTGAACATTTGAATTGTAGGACAAGTAGTCATGGTAGTAGGGAAACTGCGACATGCTTTCATCAATAAGTTGACGTCAATGGTCATTATGCTCTTAAAAGGTGCGGTAAAGACTGTGTCATTGGCTTTTCTGCACAGAGGAGGACTTGGAAGGATACTGGAAAACAGGAGTTTCGTTTAACCATTTAGGCCAAAAAAAAAATAATAGTTCTGCTTCCGGTTACCCGACCGACCCTATTTTTAGGCTGCGAACCTAAAAATGTTATCGGCAATTCAAAAAAAATATAAAAAAATAATGATTGAATAAATAAAAATAAAACCTGTTGTCTTTTCTGTCTTCACAAAATGCCTCTCAACAACCCTTTTGCGTCAAAAAATGCTTGTATTTATTTGTTTTCTTACTTACATTTGGTATTTTTTCAAAAGAAACCTCCGTTATTTTTACAAATTCGTTTCGCGATATAACTACTTCGCAATTCGATGTCACGGTGACTATAATCACGTGCGTAAACCTTGCTCAATGCGGTGACAACTGGTTCCCGCTGCGCCGTGCAGGGGCCATTTTAGAAGACATGATGAAAATGGGGTAACTAGTCCGTGCACGGCTATGCGCTCGATAGCGCTAGCATGGCTATGCATTGCAGGCACGTGCACTGTCAACTAGTCGGATCCGACATCGTAAAAATGCCAAGAAAACACCAATGGAGAAAGAACATTTTTGCAAGTTAATTCACAAATTGATCTAGCTTGTCTGTGTATGTATTTTCCGTGTTCAAGAGTTCATTTTGAGATCGCACTACTCGTATTTGGAGTGATACAATGCAGCGTGTTTCCTGAAATTTTCAACCATAAAAACGAAGTCTGTTGGCCGCGGGCCAAACATGCACAGTGCATCACAGTTTTGGCCAGCTTCCCGTCTTGACTAGAGTTGTGCATATGATGCGAACGACCTAAACTGTCCATTATTTTTTTAGGAATTATCGAACGTTAATATATTGACAATAATTAAGGTAGGTTTTATTCACTTTTTGTGGCCATTTTGTGCATAGCTTTCGTAGTGCAATGGAATTCAGGCTAAAACTTCGCATATAATTGAATACCCCATTCAATCTGCATAAAAAAAAAATTGGCAAAAAAAAAAATTCCGACCGACGGACCCTATTTTTGAAAGGCATGTAATCGGAAGCAGAACTTCTTTTTTTTTTTGGCCTTACCACATCCTCCACTTTATCTCTGTAGTTGCCACCAGACCTGAGTCTGACTCTATGGCCTCTTGGTTAAGGGCCCTGGATTCATGGTCTGTGGGTAAAGCTGCGGGTTGTGGGTTCGAGTCCTGGCGGGGTTATGGTGCGTGTGCCCTTGAGCAAGGCACTTTGTCACTCATTGCTTCTCTCCACCCAGGGGCAAATGGGTACCTGTGAGGGCAGAGATGGTTATGTGATTGATTTAGCTTGCTTGCGCCTAACAGGCAGCATCGAGCTGTATACTCCTCAGGGAGCTGAGATGGTATTTGGAATGTTAAATTGGCCCAGTGATCAGGGGTAATAATAATACTGTAAGCGCTGTGATTTAGTGTACTAAAAAGAGCGTTCTTAAATGCCGATATTATTATTATTATTATTATTATGTTAACTTTTTATGGTTTGAATTTGTATGTTCCAGGCTCGTGTTGATGTATGTAAGGACGGTAACGGTGCTAGTGTCTTTGCCTACACCTACGATGTTCAGAAAGGACGCAATTCGGGCTGCTATCTTCATGATCTTCTGTGGGAAAGGCATCACGGGCCCATACCAGCGGGGCTTCGGGTCAAACACAAGAATGGGGTATCTGTAGGTATGTAGGTATTGACCCCAGTGTGGTGGTGATTGGTCAAACGTGCATCAACATAATTTGCAGTTCAATCACAAGTCAATTCACCAGTTCCCTCACAAGTAAACAGGAGATGAACGATAACAAAGAATGCCTGGGGCTCACTGTTCATTTGAGAAGCTTGCGTGTTGACTTGGTACCTTAGAGCTATATTGAAACACCAGAGCGCTGACTCGGTGTACAAAGTGATTCCTGCTGGGTGCATGGATGTTTGTGCACAAACTTATTGAAAAAAAAGTTGTGTACGGCTTTAGTACGGCTAGTTGCATGTCTGCATTATTATTCTATACAGCTGCGTTATCAAAGCCGATACGCACAAAACCGAAACGCACAATCAGTAAATGAGCGCTTCATTTTGATCTATGCAAACAACGCAAATGCATGCGCGTACGGTATCCGCTGCAGATGATTTAGCCGTGACGCTTAAGTTTTTGGATTAGGTTGTGCATTTAGAGTACACTTTCAAAATTCACCCCATCTAATTGTATTATGTTCTATAAACACGCACATGAATTCAAAATGTCTGCGCCCAGGACGGCTTCAAAAAAATCTCCACCCGTAAGAATGAGGAGCTAGCGCTCTAGTCATTTAATGTAGCTCTGTGCTTGGTACTGGATGACTTGTGATGGTTAGTGATCCAAAACGTACAGCTGACGTCAGGTACAACCCAGTGTAAGTGTGAATGGTATGCTTTTTGCCTACCCATGTTTGATGGGACCCCTTTCCGCTAACGTGTGTGGATCTGTGTTGGCTTTAACAGGCAAGAAGATAGTGTGGAAAGGCCTTAGTGTGTATAAGATTTGAGGTTTTGCATGGTGGGGTATCGGTATCGTTTCGGTTTGCGGTAACACCATGTGGACAGTCTCCTGACGATGACTAGAGCAGGCTAGTCGAAACGTTGAGACCAAAGACAAGTTCGTTTAGAACTTACAGCAGGACTGTTCTTATCAGAACAAAAAAACTACTTAGCAAAGTTGATAATAAGCAGGACAAGTTCTTTTCAGAACTAATATCTTCTAAGCAGTAGTTATTACCACATGGTGTTACCGCAAACCGAAACGATGGCCTTAGTGTACTTTTTAACCCATTACCACTTGTACAACATTGTATTACATTGTGATTATTCACTGAAAAATAAAACATACACTGTATCAAAGAGTGTTCAGGCGATTTTGGTCGGTACAGTGAGTAATAGGCAGGCGGGCGATTTTGGGCGGTTCAGTGAGTAATAGGTAGGTGGGCGATTTTGGGCGGTTCGGTGAGTAATAGGCAGGGTGGTTTTCGGGCGCTACAGTGACTAAAGGGTTAAAATATTAAAGGTTGTCAATGCTTGTTGCATTGTACATGTATGTACATCTTTTCTCATAATGTTTTTTTTCTTTAACAGATAATCGTTTAGACAACCTTCAGCTGACTGTCATTAATCCATCTTCAAATTCCTCCACGGAGGAACGACACAGGGTCCTTAGGGGTGCAGAGCTGCAGGAACACAGCCTTTACTGGATAGCAATACAACAACTTCCCACAGATTCCTTTGAAGAGGTGAGGGGGGGGGATGCCCTTACCTAGAAGTTTCTTCTTTTTAAGAGATATCAATGTTACATTTAGTGCTCTGGATGTTGCACAAAGCCATGCCTACCTTTGGTTTCCGTATATTTCTCACAGTGCCTACGACCAAACTTGACCATTTTTATTGAACGTGAACAGGAAAACCTGATCGTACATGGAGGGAAGCTTGCTAGTTTAATGGTCTTAACCCCTTAAGGACGGGTTATAATGGGGACATTCCTCCACACATAGAGCAAGTGGCCCGCATGACTGCACAGCCTTTGTGTGGTAGCGGGACTGCACAAAAGCAGCAGCTGTGGAACTACCCACTAGCCGTGTGCCACGGCATACCACAGCTGGCAACTGCATTCCAATGAGGATTAGCGGCCGCGGCCATGACCGCTTCCCGTACACATGGGGTTAATCACAAAACACTTTTGCTAATTTAAAATGGACAAGGTTAAAGCTCAATATTTACCAGTTTACTAAGCATGCCCAACAATAGTTTTGGTTCCAAGACGTCCCTAGCTGTGTGATGTTTCAGCGTGCATGGATTATTGGACTCTGCAGGGATTCACTGAAGTGGGTGCCCTTTGCTCACGTTAACAAGCTACAAAGCGCATCTTGGGAACAAAGGATGTCTTGGGGATTTGAGAAGAATTCCTCATCACCGTTAAGCCCATCACATCTGTTTACAAGTTTCAAAAGGGACTCAATAAAACAGTGTACCTTGAAATGTGTTCTCAGATTTTGTTTGTATTTTTATTTGGTTTTTATAGGTTCCGTCGGTGCTGCACCATTATTTCAATGCCAACGGTGAGATTATTGAGGGTGAGGATGAAAGCACCACATACTTTGAGTGCCATTACCCGCCATGCACAAAAATAGAATCCGAGGTAGGTGACATACGGGCGATTCCAGCGGTACGAAAGGAAGTGTATTGTCTGTGAAGGATTACAGGGAATGTACAACATTTGCTTTTGCCGCAATTTTCATAGATAAATGGATTTGGAAGATTAGTATGTCATAGAAAATACTTGTTTCACGTTTTGGGCTTGTAGATGCTCGAAAACAATGAAAACCATTCATGTTCTTGTAGTCTGGTTCCCTGACCCCACTTAAGATGAAACTGAGCAATTTATAGACTTTGGGGGAATTGTAAGGTCAGAGAATCAGTCTAGCAGGTGCGTAATCAATTGCAAAGAAAATGCGGAATAACTAAATATGACAAATTAGGGGCACTTTTTAAAAAAAAGTCAGTTTTCTCCAACGCTGGTCGGCTGCCCAGCGTTGGAAAAATAAACTTTTCCTTGGAAATGTCAGCACGCCAGGAGCCACGATTTTACAGGATGGTTTAGACTGTCATTCCCTAACAACCCAGGAAGGTATTTTGTGAAATTTCGATCATTTCGTTTTTTGATGTTGTATCTGCCCTTTAACCATGGTATCTAATTAGTGATTCAAAGAAATGATCCTTAACTGCTATTCTGTAATCTCCTTGACCATTACAAGATGATGGGTGGGTCGATGTCGGATTTGAAAACCAAAGCAAGAAGCCATTACTGCACATCAGGCTTCTTGTGAGGGTGCAGAACATCTCATGGCAGTGAGCACAAGACCAAAGAATAGATTTATGGAGACATTCCACCTATTTCTGCTATTGTTGCTCAAGGTAGAGCAGTGTTTCCCCTGGCTAATGAACTGAGCGAGGTGGTAAAAATTCAAATTGATGATTGAACGAAGTTTATGCAGTCTGCAAACGTAAAAGGATGCAGCGCTAGCAAAAATGCAGGATGACTCCATCTACACATCCATTGAAATTGTGAGTTCTTGATACGTAGAGGTATCAAGGAAAAAGCTTTTAAATTACTCAAAATAGAAATTCTTTGATTAGTGTTTGCTTTATTGCAAATCTTCACAGTCAGGTGGTGATATTGGCAAAAATTGAGCGAGGTGGTCACTGAAAGTAGCGAGGCGGGCCGCCTCACGTTTTAATGGGCAGGGGAAATGCTTTGCTGACCACTGCTATCGTGCTGAAGACCAGGTCATATCCGATGTATGTTGGAGACTACGTGCCCTAATAGAGGACGAACACCTTTCAACTTCATTGACGTGATTGGCAGAGACAGGCAACATGAAATTGAGAACCTTCCACACATAATGAGGGATAAAGACACCTGGCGTTGCGTTGTGAATGGAATCTTGGTTGCAACCCCTAGATGTCAATGATCATTACTGCAGTGTTGCCACACGTGTGCACTGGTGGTCCGCTGATGCTCAGTGTTCCTTCAACATTGCGACAACCGTGAATGCTTGTGACACACCTGTGAGCGCTTGCTCTTGCTACAAACCTGTAAGCGAGGTGCTGCCACATTAATGGTAGCCTTTAGTCAAGTCCCACGCGCTTACCCGGACACGTGACGCACTCCGGATGCTGACACGTAAAAAGACTAGCATGAGCGGCGAAGCCGCTCGGGCCTTTACCATCTCGTGGAGAACGCTTATGATTTTCTTGACATTTGTCTACCGATTTGGTAGACATGCATAATGCATTACCCGTTGTGAATTGACCAATGAAAATGCAGAATTACTAACATAAATTAGCCGTCGTCTGGCACCAGACAGCACGCGCGCCATGGTGCTCGTGCTGTTGCTGGTAACCGCAAACCACCGTTTGATGATTGGTTTATATTGCTTGATTTATATTACGTGAATAAATGAATAAGTGATTAGTTCCACGAGATAGTAAAGGCCCTCGCGGCTTCGCCGCTCGTGCTAGTCTTTTTACGTGCCAGCATCTGGGGTACGTTACGTGTCCGGATGGTCCGGGTATAGGCCCGTGGGACTTGACTAAAGGCTACAACCCTAACTCCCTAGGCCTTTTTGCTAGGATGTAGCCTCAATCCTGCAAAATCCTCCAATTGGCCTCATGGAAAAATAGCATATAGCCTCAATCCTGCAAATTCCTCCATTGTTTCTTGAATATGGTCCATGGAGGGGTGACTGCTGCCTGAATCCCGCAAAATCCTCCGGCTATGACTGTCAATAGGCTGAGGCAGAGGCAGTGACATCCTGGAGCTGTGCGGAGGATTTCAAGTATAATCAAGGACTAAATTTATGCATGGCTGAGCATAAACAACACAAGGTCCGGCCCAAGACCTTGACACAGTGCGTACTCCGAAATCATCAACGCACTTTGGCCATGTAACCTCAATCCTGCAAATTCCTCCAATTTGCAAAAAGGATTTTGGAGGATTCAGGGCGGTTAGGGTTAATGCCGATCACTGGATTAAGCCCTGTCCGAATTAATGGGCTACGGCTTGGAATTACACACGTGTCTATGGGAAGACACGACTGCCAGACACAGCCTTAGTCTACAGGCCCTGTGCAGAGATGGTGGGTTGCAAAGCTGTAATCAAAGTCATCACAAGTCCACACTTGTCATTGCATTTTTTCACATGTCATGTCATCATGTGCTAACAGTGTTTTTACATTTCAATGATGTGCGAAAAACAAAGGCGATCTCAACTTTTCCTTTTTTTTCTCTGTCCCAGCTGCGGGAATTCAGCATCTGCGGTCGCTGCCAAGAAGTGCGCTACTGCGGAACGACATGCCAACAGAGAGACTGGACACTTCACAAGAAGCGCTGCCGAGAACGAAAGAAATCGAAACCCTACGAGCGACCCCCAGATCGCTAACGATGCACACTGCTCAGAGATGTAATATAATTTGCCATATGGTCCGTGCTCATTTTTTGGATTTTACAAGTTAACACCACGGGGTCAACTCCATCAGCATGTTTGCTTGAAAGCTGTCTAAGGCCGAGTCCGAAATGGGCTTCCAGTGCTACGGCTACGTCTGTTGTCAGTGCGTCCCTGCGTATTTTCAGTGGGCCTAGACATAGCTCTAGACAGCTGATTCGGATGCAGCCTTAACCCTAACTCCGTAGAGGGTGTGCAAAATCATATTGAAATTGGAGGATTCAGGACTGTTACGGCTATTCTTACAAAATCGTATACACTTGGCAGTAAACCACTAACACATTCTTTGTTTTGTACTTCAAGGACACAAACGTTGGTGTTCATGTGTGTAGATAGAGGGCTGCACGTCATGAATCCATCAAATACTTGATCAGGTGCTAGATTTGGATGGATTTTTTGGCGCATTCAATAACTGCAAATGTGAAAAAAGTGATTCTGTTAACCAGTTCGTGCCGGAGCCATAATAACACACACTGGCTGTTTTTGTGCCCAGGCACGGCTGACGGATTAATAAGACTTCAACATTGCCTCAACTCGCCTCTGGGTGACTTCTAAACACACTAATCCCTTGTGCCTTTTGTACACACACACACACATAGTCCGTGTTGTCTGTGGAGGCGGACCGTGTGCTGACCGTTGTGGGCCCCTTGTGCACTGCCTATTGTTTGTACAATTTACGCTCCAGTGCACACCCCGCAGCATTGAAACATATGAGGTTTTGGCAAGAAATATTGTACAAATACTGTTGAAATCAGTCTTGCAAATCAATATATGTGGCGTTTGCCTGTATATCAGAAGTTGGCTGGGAAATTTTGCCTTTTGAAAATCGGCAAAAATAAACCCGGCGCGAAGTGGTTAAAGAGAACATTTTGGAAAGGTAATCAGAAATTGTGTTAGGCCCGTCTCAATTCGTATCAGGACGAGTTCTGGACAAACTGCGGGTAGAATCGTTCACTTTGTCCCCAAAAAGCTCTGCATTTGTCCTGGATATGTCCCAGGGAAATGTTCATAAGCAACTGCTTGACCCGCCAATACCGATTACTTCATTGCGGGAAGATTGCGGGGAAGTTGTTCAGAATCCTGCATATGCAACTTGTACCTGTTACAATGTCTGCAACTTGTCAGGAACTCATCCCGGATATGAATTGAGAGGGGCCCTTACATGGCAGTGAAATACTAAGAAAGCGTGCGGTAAAAAATCTCATCAAAAATGCTTAGGTGTTACACATTACAGCTGTTTTTGGTTGTGAGTTTCTCATGGTATAGGCTTCAGTTCCAGCTGGTTTGGAATTGGAGTCACGGCCACTTGTGGAATTCATTCCGAAAGTTGACCCTCAAAGCAACCTTTTACACCTATTCCAGAGAAAAGATTAAAAGTCAGATCCAAAAATAAAATCCAAATGAAAAATTGGGAGACAGCTATCATAGGGCTGGAAAGATGGAGTGCTTGACAGCATTCCAAATGTTGCAAGTTAAAGTTGAGTATCAAAAATGAGTATCACCCCTACTGTTACCTACAGTACCATAACGCTCCTCTTGACACAATCCAACAACATGTGGGACAATCCTCATGCTCCATTTGCCAATTGATCAGGATATTGTTAGATTTTTATAGTTGATTTGTTATTTGAAGTACAACAGTATTCACTTGTCTGTGATAAGTTTCCATATCTTAAATATAATATCCTTGGGGTATGCAAGTCCTATTTATAATGTACATGTTCCACTTTTTTATCTTGAACAGTTGCCTAAAGTTTGAATACCTTTGTACGGTGAGGAACTATCACTGCCTGTTTGTATTATTGTGCTTACTTAAACAAGGGTCTTCATTACAAGTGTAGTTGAATACACGTCTGGATTTCATCTTGTATACACATGGATTGCCATATACATGTACACGGATTCTCCAAACAAGTTGGGTGGGTTGGTGTAAGCTGGAACACATGTTGCAGTTGTGTCCGCACAATGGAGTCTTTAAGTCAGTCAGAAGCCATACGCAAGTCAGTCACAAGTCACTTCATAAAGACACTAGCTGGTCACAACTCCAGCCACCGTCAGTCACAAGTTGATCATAAGCATGGAGCTATATTAAATTGCTAGAGCGCTAACTCCTCATTCTTACGTGCGGAGATACTTTGAAGCTGTCCTGAACGCAGACACTTTGAATTCATGTGCGTGTTTGTAGAACAAAATGAAATTAGATGGAGTGAATTTTTGAAAGTGCACTCTAAATGCAATGCCCAAAAAACAACATATGCAAGCAACTTAAGCGTGTCATGATGGTTAAAAAATTTCACAGCAAAAATCATCTTCAGCGGATATGCGCACGCGTTTGTGTTGTTTGTGCAGAGCAAAACCTAAATGCTCATTTACTGATTAAGCGTTTCGGTGTTGCGCATATCGGCTTCGATAATGCACCTGTATAGAATACAAATGCAGAAATACAAACGGAAGCCGTACAAATTTTTGAGTTTTCCATAGGTTTGTGCACAAACATGGATGCGCCAAGCAGGCATCACTTTGTACATCGAGTCAGCGCTCGAGTAATTTAATATAGCTCCATGGTCGTAAGTCAGTCACATGTTGGTCACAAGTCAATCTTAAGTCAACCACATTAATCACTAAAGTCAAGAGATAGCTGGTGAGATGAACTTCAACAGGAATTCCCTTTTCACTGCCAATATGATGTGTTAGCGAACCTACTTGTAATTTGGTTTGACGACAACTCTGTATTAAATGTGACCTGTTCTGTCAAAAGCTGCAGAGGTTGAAATTGAGATAGGGCCAAAAAACGCTGTGGGGGTGATTTTTTTTCCATTTTCTATATTTTGCATATTTGTAATCCTGAGCATGTCTAAAATATACTATAAAAGTTTGAAACCCTAATTTGATCTCTAATTATAGTATTTTTGATGATTTGTTAAGGTACATCAGTTAAAGAAATGTCTGTTTTGTGACGTTGGTGTCCATTTTCTCTGTTTTCTACTTTTCGACCCAATGAACTTCAAAATAGCATAACTTTGCGCAGGAATGACCGGTTTCAAAAATTAAACAACCTATTAAAAGGAAACAGAACATATCTTAACAATATATGCAAAAATCTCATTTTTGACCCTATGCCCAGAAAAGTCTGATTTTGACAGAACAAGTCACAAATTAGCTCATAAATGTTATGTCTTGCTGCAATAGAGGGGAGGGGAGTTCTGTTTGAGACAGTACGACTACCGAAAAAAGTAATTTGGCCTTATATGTGAAATACAACCAAATTTTAGCCTCCCCTTTATTTTTGACTAGTCAGGCCGACTTCAACCTTGCTTTTTGGTCCAGAAAAAAAGACTTTATAAATCGTACATGTATACGAGGGTTTCATTTCATGAAAGTTGTACACTATTGTACCAGCTATGGTACAACATTATGCTGAAATTATGTGATTTATATTATAGCAAAACCATCATTCAAGTTGTTACGCTGGAAGAACTTAGACAAAAGTGATTCTTCAGAATTTTTTGTTGTAAGAAATCACTTCATTTGGTCGAAATTGTTAGGTCATTATGATAAAATCATGTAAATAAAAAATGCTCATTTTTCTTCCCCGGACTTGTTACAGAAAAAAACATGCAATTTCTGTCATGCAAGTCTTTTTGGCGCATCCGGTATTCAGGATTTTGTTCAATGAGATGAGGCGTTTCAGTTTTGTAAAATATGTAAATAAAAGTATTAGAATGCACCTTGTGAAGGAATGGCTCTTGAGCCTTAAAGTTAGGACTGAAGAATAAAGTAGATTCAGAATTTTTAAATTTACTTGTAAAGTGTGTTTCTTTTCTTTTGAGGGTTACAGTCATTTACAACATGCGAATAAAAAGGATTAATTCTGCATTAGACCACTTGTCTTCAGCGAAGGGGAGGTAGTACGGTAGATAGGTGAAGGGATCGTTTATTTGATGATAAAAGCATGGCATGTGGCACACAGTTGGAGTATCTCATGAGAAAGGTATGGGCTGTATAGGGCCATCGCAGATTTGTCATTGAAAAAAATAAAGGTAGAATAACAAGCAATAGCAGCCATTTTGAAAATTTTGAAAATTGCTTGTTATTCTACCAATATTTTTCGAAGGACAAATCTACAATGGCCCTATAGCCAAATATCTTTTTCATCATCTGTTTGCCAAATGCCATAAACTCAACAATCCCCAAAATGTTTCCCCTATCTGCCCCACTAATTAGGGGAAATACCATAATACGGAAAGTAGGAACCGCTAACGGTATTTTTACAAATCTCTGTACAGAAGTGGGTTGTTTCTCCAAACGTTTGCGAATGACGTTATAATTTCCAATGCATAAAAAAACACCCCCTTTCTAAAATTGTATTTCATTTTAAAGCCAAGTTACCATGATCAAACACACTGAAATAAGTCTACCTGAAATAGTACCGTTTGGAAGAAAACAACAAATGAAGGTGGTTCAGGGTGCCCATTGGCATGACTGTTGACAGGCATTCAAATCGTGGAATAATGCCAGAGAACAAAAGAGGAGAATATCGTCCGCGACTCCCAGCATACGTCCGTGATTGGGGTCGTGTACAATATGGGAGTCTTCCTAAAAAGTTGAGGTACAAACAAAAGAGGGACAATACACGACGTCCACGATCGACGGTGTGAATGCGACTATTGGGGGGGGGGGGGGGGGGGTATCCATTCAGACTGAGGACTTGGGACAATGGGGCGTGTGCGATTTCAATGGGCCCGAGAACCCGGGTCAAGGTCCTCGGGAGAGTTTCGTGTACAAACCTTATGGGAGCTGTCGAGAAGAAGAAGTACAAACAAATGGGAACAAAGTAAAATCGTATGGTACATGACTTTTGTAATAGTAAAATCGAGCTGTGTGTGTGCGTTTGCGGAATCCAATTGCTAGACCAAAACAAATTGTGCATACGTTTTGTCTGTGTTCTCAATATGTATCGTATCCAAAAGAAATCAACAGGTTATTTATTAGTTGTTATATACCCTACGTAAGATTTTGAGCAATTTTGTTGCTTCAAACGAAAAAAAAAATGCACAAAAAAGTAAACGATCTGATTACGTACCTTTGAAAATGCACTGATTAATTGTAGGCCTACTTAGTAGACAACATCCCAACCATCATGTATATTGCATTTTACTTTGTTACGTCATCCGAACAGCTCAACTGAAAAGCATTAAGATGTGTGTGGCATTTCTGAGGAGTTAAAAATTTAACGACTTTAGTCATGCCGAGAGATTTCAGTCCCTTATGTGACTAATAAAAAAGGCAATGTTTATGCAAACGAACTGTGTAGATTTAAATTGCTTAATGAAAGGACAAACACTAGTTAAACAAACAAAGGCAGCATTATGCAAATTGAATGCTTTATACAATCAATGTTTTGTTATTGCTTCATTATACATTACTCTATAGAGTACCGAAGTGTGACGTCAGCTGTCATTGTTCTGGTTTACTCTGGTTGGCGGGCTGATGTCTTCGCACACTAATTAAGCTGTGCGCGTGCCAGAATACGCCGCGCACTTCGCATAATCTGATAATCCATAGGCGATGTCCCATAAGACCGTACGTGGCTGGAGATAATTTATAAACCATGACTCGAAACCATTCTACGTGTTCTATATCATTGGTCTCACAATTATGGGCCAATACGAGGGCGCTAATGTTAGAGTGGGTCAAATATTTTGTCTAAAATTAATGTACCTACTCATAATTTATCCAAAATAACCCACTCGCTGACATATTAACTAAAATATACTAATGAGTTGCGGCGCAACGCACGGAAGTGGTTTGCCTTTTTTGTGTGCTTAAGATTTGACATTATTCCTTCAGCAAATCTCGTTCTATCTCCGGCCGATTTGATCGATTCAGAACAATCTGTACAAACAAACTGTCTTATTAAGGGGTGGGTGGACAATAACACGGCATTTGCTATTCACAGGACCATCGAAAGTGTGTGTATGGTTTTGCTTGGCCATTTTGTCCTCTATATCTAGCTCTCATCAAGATGGATATCTCTTCTGAGGTTTTCAACACGAGCGACTTTATTGCTGACGAGTTGCCATCTACTACATCCACCTTCCGCACAGTATGTATTTCTCTTGTGGTTGGCCTGATCGTTCTCGTCACGACCGTGGGTAACATCCTGGTCATCGCTTCTTTCGTCTCGGACCGTCGCATCAGGGCCGCCATGGGCAACTGGTTCATCTTAAACCTCTCGATCTGCGATCTCACCACGGGGGTTGCCGTGCTGCCGTTCAACACTCACTGGGTCATTGTCGGTCGCTGGAGCTTTGGTGAAGCCTTCTGCAAACTCTGGCTCATTGTGGACTTCTCCATAACTCACATCTCCATTCTTAGCGTCATCTTCATCAGCTTGGACCGTTACTGGATGGTCACAAAGACATCCAAATACCGCTCCTTTCTGTCAAAGAAAAAAGTTCAGACAATGACCGCCGCGGCATGGAGCGTCATCGTGATCTACTATACATTCGTGGCACTTGCCTGGGCTCCACTTACCAAGGAAAGTCCCTTTAATTATGACGAAGACTGTGAATTGGATGCCGTTTTGAACATGTATTTCACGATCGTGCAAATTATTTTTGAATTTGTTCTTCCCTTGATTGTCATCACGTATTTGAATCTGATTGTCTACACTGAAATAAAACGACGGTCGGGTGGTTTGAAAAGAATGGCGCACGCCTCGCTCAAAATGGAAGGAATACAGGCACCGTCAAAAATTCAATCAACTATTAAAAGGGTTCGGATGTGTTCGGTTAAACCGTTAGGAATTAAACACGATGAAGCTATGGCGTCACTCGATTCAGGTAGTGACTATGACATTCGTCAGATAGATTCACAGAATTCTGCAGTTGCAACCGCAGCAGAAAATAAAGGACCTGGATCGGCATGTCCTGGTGATCACGACTCGGTAAAAACATTTCCTTATTGCGAACAAGAACGCTCAGTCATCGACACGTCAACAGTTAGTTCTCATCGGCAGATGCCGGCAGATGTTGAGAATAAGCGTCATAGCATTGGTCTGACCGAAAGTCGGAAATCAGACCGTAGAAACCAAACAGTTACCCACAAGGAATTCAAAAAGCACAGGAAAGCAGCAATTACTTTGGCAGCTCTCGTTATCGTGTTTGTCATCTGTTGGCTGCCGTACCACATCACTGCCGCATGGAACATGATTTGTCGCGGCTGCGTCGGCGACCTTGCCTGGGAGGTTGTCAACTACATGCTGTGGTGTAACTCCACCGTGAACCCATTCTTGTATGCTATTACAAACGTTCGGTTCCGGAGGAACTTCATTCGGTTCCTCGGATGCCGACGGCTCCTGCGACAAGGAAGGAGACCTGTCAGTGATACTCTCTGATTGACTTCCGACTGGAAGAATTGAAACTGGACTAACTGTACTTCAGCCGCCCGTTATTCTGATGATGAGTCCCTTTTTCATTGTGTTAAGGCGTATATCATGCAGAACTTAGTCCAGAATGACTTGATAGTATTTCAATGCCTGGACATCTTTAATGTTTGCAGTTCAGTATAGTCTTGTACAGTAGTATTGTCTTGTACAGCTTGACATTAGTTTGAGAAGTAATTACGTACCCAAAACAGCATTAGTAACACACACGTCTATGGGAAGTGGCTAAAGTGTGTATAACTCCAGCGGTAGCCAAGTACTTTGGACACGGTATAATAATTGAAATAGTGGCGGATCTAGGCAAGGTTGTTGGGTTTCTTTTGCTCACATCCCACCCTGCTGACTATATGTTATGATACAAGTCCAATGGGGCCAACAAATAAATGGAATGCTAAAGTTCATGAATATATTCTCAAATTGCCTGAACATAGAACGCAGGAGAAAGGATCGTATTTTGAACATTTACCAGGGGGTGCCCCCGGACACCTCCAGCAGCCCCCTTCCCGCCTCTCTGTTTCATCACGGGTCCTCTGTATACACTTAGCTAGATTCGCCCCAGTAAAAACATTGCGTGTGACGCCATGAATTTGACGTCGACAGAGTGCGCGTGTCCCACTGTTGTGAAATAATAGCGAGGTTTCGATTACGCACGGTTAGCGGAACGACGACTTTTAGTGGCTCTGACGTCATCACTGTTTGTGCGTGCATGCGCAGTATGACTTTTACACTATCGGTACAGTCTGTAAATCGTCGTCAACACGAATAGCAGCTCTGCTAAACGTAAGTGGAAACGGATAGTAAAAAGTCAGTAATTTTGTCTAAATTTGAAGCGAAAAGCACAAGTAATGAATCAGTCATTATAGTTTAGAATGTCAGCATTCATGTTTGATTGGGTATGATGTGTGTTATCTGTATTTTGGTTGTGTATTTTTGTCTTGCAATGGAGGGATAAATTCTTCTTGTAACGTTCGTTACGTTCAGCCTTGTTTAGCATTAAGTGAGTGCACGTAGCCCAGGCCTATGCGCTTGGCTACAGTACAGTACACGATTTTTACTTCACTTAAGAAGGCCCAGCCATTTTTGTTCAGGGTGTTAATTTTTTTTACCTAGTGACGCTGAGCTGACATTGACAAAATGCAAGAAGTTGCACGCTAAGGCCGAATGAAAAAAAAAATGTTTCTCGTCCGGGTTTTTGAAAAAAGGAGGAAGAGGGGCTTTTTATTTTTAATTTTTTTTCAAGATGGCCGCCATTTTAAAATTTCTTGCAACCGTTGGTGTTTTCACTGTTCAAAGACACTTTTTGAAATGCAAGACAAGTTGGACAAGAGAATTAAGTGAACATATTTACAGTGACAGTGTCATTTAGTTGTTTTGGTAGGCCGCTATTGGGATTTATTTTCCGATGAATTTGTGGACTTTTTTGGTGTTTTTTACTGCATTTTCCAAAACAAACAAAAAATTCCAGGCGGCCTCCAAAAAGGAAGCGGTTGAGACGAGAAACATGGTTTTTTTTTTACTTCGCCTAATAAATCTTTAAAATTTGATTGAAAAAGAAAGAGTGAGAACTATGCCTCAGCTAGTGCTGCTGCTAGTGCTAGGCCTAGGGTAGTCCTAGTCTATGGCCCACACTGAGTAGACTCTACATGCTGGGTTGACAATTTTTTTTTTTTAAGAGTCAAGTTCACCAGAAGGAAGCACGGGAAAGTCCTAATTTTGGGGGAATATTGAGAGGTACGGGTAAGTGAACCCACCCTTCGCGTATTAGTTGGAATGATTGCACTAAAATTGTTGGTTCTTTTTTATTTTCAAATCCTCAACTTTGGGAAACAATATCTGTATGGCCCAGAATGTAGAGTCTACTCAGTGCGGGCCATTGACTAGGGCTAGGCCTAGGGTAGGCAGGGCTACCTAATGTTAGGCCTACGTTTTGTCTTCCAGAATTTTGTAAAACTTTTCCCAAAAACATAACTTTCTTTTTAATTTTGTTTATTTGTTTTAATTCTTTCAGAATTGCAATGAAGACTGCTCGATTTTATCCTGGCCTGGACATTGTACTCCTGAGGGAGGCATTGGCACTTTCAAGTGAAGACGGCCAAGGACTTTCAAAGGAAGCATGGGAAGTAATCCACAAGAACATCAATGATGCCATCAAGGCCAAACATATTTATGTTACACTAAGGGCGTGCAGAGACAGATACCGACATCTTCAGGATTGTCATAGAAGAGCAGAAATGAGCTCTCTTAGGGCGTAAGTAGCTTTTTCATTTTTTTGAATCCAAATATTTTTTTAAAAAATGGTTACAAAATTTATAACAATAGACCTTCCTATCCATCATTTTCCCTGTACAAAGTATTCAAATTTAGGGGCACTCTATAGATACGAGTGCTCAATCTTGAGAATGACCCTGATGGTGTTCTTTGCAATCTGCAGAATTTGCACAATCTAGGATTTCCCTATTGAATACGAGCCGAGTGTCTGGTAATGTTCTAATCTTAAAACATTTACCTTTCCAGCTCTGGTACAGATGAGGAATACGATGAAAGAATACAACTCCTAACAGAACTTGCTGACTTTGATGAGGAAAGGAAGTTGGCACAGATAAAAAGAAAATCTGAAGAAGCTGAAAAAGAGAGGCAGGGTGTAATCATACGAGAAGTAGCGATGAAATCCCTATCTGCAACGAAGACCAGGAATGATGACGTAACAGGTAATTTCCCGTGACCTTAAATATAATTTGAACATTATGTTGGATGGCATGGGTGGTGTAGTGCGTAAACCGTTCACCTCTCACCACTGTTGGCCCATTTTCGATTCCCGGCTAGGCCATAATGTGAGTAGAGTTTTGCGTTGGTTCTCTCCTGTGCCACGAGGGTTTTCTCCGGGCCCTCCGATTCCCCCCCCCCCCCCACCAGTTAAAAAAAAAACAACTTTCGATCTCTGGCGGAGCTTAGTGGTCATATAGAGGCCATGCCACACTAGGCAATTTATAGGCAACCACTCCTGGCAATCTCCAGGAAAAAAACATATTCACATTTAATTTTTACATAATTTACTTGGGGATAGCAAGATATATTTTTAGAAAAATGTACATGTATTTTGTACTATCGAGGTGTTCCCTTTTCTTGCAGTGCAGTTGGTTGCCTCAAGGCTGCCTGTAAAATTCTCCCGAGTGACAAGGCCTTATGGGTCAATGTGGCTGACTGCCAAAAGTGCCCTCGCATGCCTGTAGCTCGACCACTTTGTAGCCGTGTCCTTCCCAATTCAGCTTCTCAGCTGCCATTAAAAGATGATTAGCCTCCCAAATTGTTGTCATATTTCCAGTCCAAAATTTTTTTTTAACTTTCTTGTTTTCCTATTAAATTACTGGTTTTAAACAAAGAAAGAATATGTTTTATAAGATTGTCATTTTTTTTTGTTATTTTATTTTTCTTCAGACCCGGAGCTGACCCCACCACAAAGGAAACGCCGAAATACAGCGTCGGACTCATATGTCAAGTACCTTGAAGACAAACTGGAATTTGAGCGAGAAAAGTTTGAGTTAGAAAAAAAGGAAAGAGAAGCCAGGCTGGAAAAAGACAACGAAATGATGAAACTGATGATGACTTTAATAAAAAAGTAAGGTTCCACAGATTTCAGGACACAACTGCTTTGAATTCAGGTTCTTAAACTAGTGTGTCAGTGATAGCAGCATTCCAAAATGTTATGCCTACACCGGATTTGAATAGGCTACTCTGTTTTAATGTTCAAATTTTGAAGTTTTATCTTGCACGTTGCTGTTGGAAGTCAGGTATTCCAGCATGTACATTAATGGTTTTGCCCCCAAAAATGCATTTGAGCCAGAGAGTACCAAAGAAGATTCTGCCATAAATATAAAGAAAATAATCGTTTTATTATCCCATAAAAAGGACTCTGCACATTTTAAAAAGACCTTCTACAATAGCTGCAAACAAAACTTTGAAAAGAGGCTCTAAGGTCAAGTTCAGTTTTGTGATGCACTCATTTTCCAATAGATAGAGTCCTTATTAGTGAAAAAATTACAAGTCTCCAACCTCACGTTTAAGTGGTGTACAATGTCATTTAATCCCATACCCTTTCAGAGCATAATTTGAAACGTGACTGTAACATTCCATACATGATTTTTTCATTCTTCAAAAAGTCGAGTTCAACACTGACTTGACTGAATATTATGGGGATTCAGGGATGAAGTACATATTTCCCGTGCAAAGATATACAGACCTGTATATTTGAAATGCGACGTCACTGTTGTCTTTGGATGTTAAAGCATTTTGCACTGGAAGAGTATGAAATAAAATGACATTTTACACCACTTTAACGTGCCTGTGATCTTTTTCACACTTTTTAATAAGGACTCTATTGGAAAATGAGTGCATCACAAAACTTAATTTGACAATGGAGCCCCTCTTTAAAAAATGGCTGTAAGTTCAAGTTAACTTTTGCCCTGGAATCATTTCTGATTGGGTCAATATGATGAAACGGTTTAAAGTGACAATTTTTTTTTATTAACCTTCCAAGATCCACTTTAAAATTTGTTAAAATTCAAAGACATGTTCACATTTGACAATTATTCACGCTGCCAGTAACATATGCTGTATGAACATGTACATTGTACATGTTGGTTGATTTATGTACATTCTTAATTTTTGTTTATACATTGTATGATGCAAGTTCAGTATAAATGGTGTACATCTAAACCAGGCAAAGGTTGTAGGGGTAAGGTATTATTTGCAGACACTTTAATAATTTAATAAGTGTTAATAAAACCCCAAAACATGTACTTTTTTTGCCTTCTCATTTGTAATTGGAACAAAAAACTGTTTGCACCCCCCCCCCCACACACACACACATTGTTGAATTCTGAAAACAAACAGAGCATACCACCTAAAGATATTTCGAGAAGCCTGGTGAGACAACCCTTTACTTTGTACCCCCCCCCCCCCCCATCCAGGGGAGAGTTTTGGCGACCAGAAACATGTTTGTGCATTGGTCATTGGTTAAGCATTTTCGCGAGATTGGTTGAGTTGTGAGGACGTAATTGTTCCGACCAAACTGTAACCAAGATTTAGGCTTGGTTATGCCTGGTTTTAAAATGGGCGGGCGTTAAAAGTTACGCTTGAATTTGTTGAGAAATCACTCAACAAAAAATTGAATAATTGAACAATCTAATATTCACTTTAAAAAAATACATTTGCACATTATACTATGAGAATGTTGTCGTTATAGATGATTGCATACGTCACGAATTGTTTCTGGTAACGGACTCGTTTTCGCAGACTAAAAACTTGTTTGTGATCACAAAATATGTTTACATCAGAAACATGTTTCTGTTCAGGGTTGCGAAAATACGCCCCTGTTAAAATATTTAATTCACAAAGAAGGTTTGATATTTTTTGGGTTTCCAAAATTTGCTTGGTATATATCCCTGTTATGTGATTTTTGTCTTTCCTTCCACTATTAAACATTTACATGTTATTAATAAACCATAATAATAATAATAATAATGTTTTTCTTTTTCGCTTTGTATCTTGTGTATCATAACACTACAAATATTGGATGCACATGAGTGCAACGTCGCAGATTCTAATCAGGAGTTGAAAGCTGGACTATTCCATTTCACGAATCACGAGGCGCAGCGAGTGAAATAGAAAAGCCAGATTTCACTAAGCGATAATATTCTGCTACATTGCACGAACAAAATACATTCAATATTTGTTTTATATCACTCACACATTTGATATTTTTTCACAATACTGACACAAACTAGACACGGAAACTTGTTCAACCCACACTCGGGAAAATTCTACAAACACCCTCTAAACAACTTGAACGACTCCACACTGGACACCAACCTTGTCACTTGCAGCACGACCTTGTCTTATTTGGACAAATGGGCTGGGAACAAATATTTTGGAGACGACGCTGAAAACACGGGTTCAATGTCCGCAAGCGTCCAATACTTATTTTAATATTGGACGGGCCTGTCCAATGTTGTTTTGGAACGATATTACGCGCCGCGACGTGTCATGGTTATAAATACATAGCAAAGTAAGGAATGACACGTGACATGTGTCCCACCAATCAAATGACAAGGATCTGTGTGTATGGTATATAATATTAGTTATCACACAAGCAAGAGTGGAATACGGGAAAATATACCTTAGTACTTCTGCATCCCATATCCAACTCTGCCTTCAGCCTCCTTGGATATGAAATGAGATGCAGATAGCACTATTTTTCCATATTCCACGAGCACACGTGATAATGAATTTATCTTCAAGCAAACTTGACAGGCAGATGGAGTTAGAACAGCGCAATTAATACGCAGAGTGCGATAAGCCATCCAATTCTATATAAATATCATACTGTTGTTGCCATGGATTTATCAATCAGAATCAAGGATTCAAGTTTGCCTGAAGATAATTATGTAGTAGGCTAACTAGAATGCCCAATGTTATAAAAATCACTAAATTCTTGCATATTCAGGACTCATAGAAAAGACGGCTATGTAAATTATAAAATCATGATAAATAGTTCTCCAAGGAGGGTGGGTCCAACTGGAAGTAATTACTTGTCTGATTTCCATAGACACAAGTATGGCAGTTAGTGAGAAGCCCGCCGACCAGGTAGTACTTTGCAACTGGGGATAATAGTACTTTCAAGTTCTTTCGAAAGTCAAGGAAGGCGAATAGTTTGATCATCTTTCCAAATTCCCACTCAACACATTCTCGCACTGATGACATTCTTGAGTTGAATTCTTGCTCCTCAGCTGTTACGTTTGCCCCTTTGAATGGAGCTTGTAGATAACGTCTGAGTGGATACGCAGGATCCCCGTAAAGTGCAAATGGCAATCCATTTCTATCGGTCAGATTTCTTCTCTCAAATTCTTGTAGAAGTCCACTCATGCGAAGGAGAGCGCTGTCATGTCTTCGCCCCTCTACTGGGCCGTACAGATGTGTAATCAATCCACAAGGTAATACCACTGACTGGAACTTTAGGGCATGTATCCTTTTGTGCCCATTATAGCACACTCGCTGATGATGAGTTGGCCTACAAATTGGGCGAACTGTCCCATCTATAAATCCAAAGCAATTCTGCAAAGGTGCCCCTTTGTCATGAATAACATCCGCATAAATTTGTAGCTGTGCACGATCTAGCCATGGATTATCAAGGGATAGAAATCGATGGTGATGCAAATCATACAAAAGTTCAACGGTCTCATTGATAACCAGTGAAAGTGTGGATTTTGGCCTCCCGAACAACTCCTCCAAGTCAGATAGGCGATTTGGGTAAGCAAATCTTCTGAGTACCATGCAAAGAGCATCAAGACCACTGCAAGTGGACCCGTTCTTTAAAATTAGTTTCTCAGGAAGTCCAAGTAAATCTCGTAGCCGGTAAATGTCATCCTTCAAAAATCTGAACTTATCCAAGCACTGATTATTTGTAAGTGTCACTATATCAAACCTGGGCCACTCTGGATTGAATGTGACTCTCGTTGGTATCGGTGCATTGGCCAAGAGGAGGTACATCAAATCGTTATCTTCATCTTCAAGTGCAAAATCAAGTAGTCTCATGGGCGCTGCCATCTTGAAGAGTGCGCCCTCAACAGTTATCCTAAATGTAACCGTGAGGTCATAATCGAAACCCTTCTGCTTGTCGCGTCGGAACGACTGCGTACACGTTCGTGACGTGTAGCTAATTGTAGTCGTGCACACTAACCGTTCGCAATCGAAACCTACCTAATAATGTATTTGTGACGTACGACCACTGATCTCTATATAAAGACTGGATAGCTAATAAAGAGCCGCACAATGTACGAATTTGACGCCATATTGGTGAGACCGGCTGGTGATCTACAAAGGACAAGTTGTCGTTTTTATAGACAGCATGATTTCTTTTGTAACGTCGCGGTTCACTTGACTTATATTTTGACCACCATCACTGACCAAGGTTAACTACAATTTGTCTAACGTCGTGGTTACTAAAATGCCGCAAATATAACTTTTTCGGCGTTTTGAAATAATAATCACTACGGAAATGTGTCCCTTTTAGAACATCATAATATGTGTACGTGACCAAAATGCGCGTCAACTGTTGATACAACGCGCGCGTATTTACGCGTAGAACGTTCGTATTATACGCGGCCATCTTTGTGAGACCGGGGCGAATTGGTCAATATGCAAAGTCTACTGTGTGAATGTTGTATGCATATCCGCTATCCAGTCTTTATATAGAGATCAGTGCGTACGACACGCGCAGTTTTTGTCAAGGAAACGTTCATTTAATTTTTAATAAGCCACTACACGCAGCAGGTTGGTTTTCAAGTTGTTTGTCACTTGTAACTTCTGTTTTCTGGATCATGCATGGATGACTGAAACACAATATTTGGACTTCGTTACGGCACGGCAAGGCCTACTTTGACCATGCTGCAGTGGGCGAATAATGTTGTACTCTTGGTGGCATCGGCTCTGTTCCTGGACAAATTGGTGGATTGTTTGAACCAGACAAGAATGTTTATCATCAATGATATCTTACTGAATAGGTAAAGTAATTGGCCTAACTTACATGCCGATTGAATAGTTCAAATTGTCCCGGGTTATGTAATGACAAGGCGGAAAAACATAGCATTGGAACAAGAGGCAATTTTTCAGAGGTTTCTTTCATATTCATTTTCTAAACAATTGCCTGATTTAGTTACAGAATTCATATCTTCCTAGCTAGATATTTTCTTATGCATTTCATGAAAACCGCTTCATGGTAATGAACCATAATTATTGTCTTTACCTTTTTTGTATTATTTGTGTATAAAGGAAACCTTCTTTAGCCAACCGGCTCGGTTTGACACACGACGAGGATGCCCAAACTCATGATCTGGTAGCGAAGACCATACAGACTCACGAGTCACGGCAAGATACTGAAGTCCTTCGTGACGAGGTCCATCGCCTCAGACGACGTCTTGGACAGCTCAAGACAAGGGAGGGCCAGGCTCTCATGAAAAGCAGAGCATGTCTAGAACGCAAACTATTCCTGCTTCGGGAGAAAGACAAATTGGACAAACAGACCCAAGAGCATCGGAAATGCATGAAGCAGAGGTGGGCAGGTCACTGTGACGAGATGAGATCCCTGAAGCAATCTCTAGCTGATACTCTGAAAAGAAAGAGCGAGTTGGTGTCAGAAGTGGGATTCCTGCGAAAAGAGATTAGGGTTCAGAAACACGCCTTGAGAGCAAAATCGCGAGAAGTGAAGCACATAAAAATCTTGAGAAAAGCAGCATCTGATGAGGTGAGATACGCGAAAGCTCTGATGGAGAATACTCGTAGGCGTCTGGAAGAGATTATAGCCAGCCACTGTCGCTTTATGATGCACCGAAGCCAGGGCAACTTGGGGCTGAGGGTCCGGGTAGCTGAGCTGCGTGTCCAAGCCAAGCAGACCAAGCTGGTATGCATCAGGCAAGCCTGGCGGAATCTTCTCACACGTATGCGAGTAGACAGCCTGCGGGGTGAATTGGGTCGTCTCCGAGTTGACTTGGTCCCAGAGTCTGAAGTCCTTCAGATGAAACAACAATGTTACAAAGTTCATAAAATACTGAAAGGGATGGGTGTGGTCTTCCTTGTAGAGGGGCTAGCGTGCTTGGGATTCTTCATGATGCAGTTATACATGTAGGCCTAATTCAGAAGTATCTGAAAATGTGACATTGTCCTAATTAAGCCTTCAAAAATGCAGGTTTAAAAACAAATTGAAAAGGCACAAGAAAATGGATTTAATATTGAAACATAAAAACAACAGACAATAACCTGAATAGGCCTACTGAAAACTTTGGTATAGCTTTTGGACGTTAAGGGGGCTCATTTGACAATTTTCAGATGTGGAGTATATTTTTTGTGATTTTAATTTCATCAAAGTTAAAACTGAACAAATAATTATTATAGTTATCAACTTTTTAACTGTATTTTTGTGAATCTGAACCATTATAGTGAAGTAGCTGCAAAATGGTTTTGGTTACCGAATCTCACTTGAAAAAGAATGTTAAGATCCATTATCTTAATAGCCAACATATTCATGTACATGTACATGTAATAATTATGAAAATGAATAACACTGCCGAATACTGCTTACTGACTGGATTGAGAGAGCCTAACTACATGTAATTCTTTACAGGAGCTCTCTCAAAGGCAAAATGACAGTCTTACAGAATTAAACAGTGATTAAACATGGGAACCGGCCTGGACCAAAGGAATGGGAGTGGTATCGGGTAGAGATCAAAGGAAATGAAGAGACTAGGGGAAGGGGCAGGGAAAGGAACGCTGAGTGTGGTAGGGGTTGGCAGATATAAAAGGGGGTGTGAAGAGAGGGATATGATGCAGCACGATGGCCAAGTGATTCAATGCCCTGTAAAATCACATCTGAAATGGAACAGGTTGAGATGGTGACCATGCAACATGGATGGCTAGTCTCGTATAGTCTTGACAGTCGATCGATGACTATTGTAACGCAAATCGGCTCTGTCAGGTAGCCAGTTCAGACCGATCAAGCCCTGCGGTTGTAGGTCACGGTCTTGGATAGTCAATTATCGCATTAACACTGAACTTCTAATGTCCACAAGCGAAGCGTAACACTTCAATGCAATCAATGTAGTCATTCTCTGTTGCAATGAAGTTCCAGACTTCATTTGTTCAACTGATGTCTACATCCAACGCTCACATCATGTCGATAACAAAATCATAACACCTTACCGAATCTAACCCCTTTTATAGCAAAATCTCCCCATAGAAACCATGTACAAAGTCATTACAGTGTGGTTGTGTAATCCTATTGCAATCCAACGGTGCAATTTATAACCCTAATTTACATATAGCTGACTCTGAAAAAAACAACACGGCTTAAACTGCTGGGTGTACAAAGTAGTACATGTAATAAATAATCAACTCTGGAGCGTTACATATAGGGCCCAAAGAGTCAGAATTCTTGGTCGATTTACATTTTGACCATTAGCTTTCTTATCCCTCGGGAATGTCCATTGCTACAGCACTGTGACCGCAAGCCTCGACCATTCAAAGCGTGAATGCAAGCGGCCTTTGAACACGATGATCGCTGCCTTTTTTAGTTGGTAACCAAAAGAACCTTCCTATTTCGCTCCAAACAGGACGCTGGGAAGGGCTGATGAATTCACGCTCTGATTGGATAGATTTTGCGTGACCTGCGACCTGCAAGTCATCACGGCCACGACTGTGACCCAGCAAGGTTTTAAACGGCTGAGTCATCACTCGTTTATTAATTCATAATTGTGTGTTTTCGTTGAAAAGCGTAATAATGTAGGAAAATCTTTGTATAAAACCTTATCTTTTTTTGTACATTTTCAATTCCCGTCACTTCCTCAGGCTCCGTTTCGAATTCACGAAGGGTCAAATTGCATATTATGCGACGTTCAAAATGTGTCCACATGGTCCCCAATGAAAATGAAACCACATCCGGTATGGAATGTGTGCATTTGAGAAAGTTTTCGTATGGCATTTGCTGGCATTGGCGGTCTTAAACAGCTGCAGCCAGATGATTTATACATAGGTCATGATAAATTACCCAGAATGCCATCCCCACTTCCTTCACAAGATTCTGTGAAGCTCATCAGCCCTTCCCGGCGGCGATTTTTTTTTCCATACCACATGATGGCTACTATACATAGAATTATGCTGGAGGGCCCTAGCAAAAGCATAATGTTTAAAACTACCACATCGATCGAGTCACTGCTGTAGTGTCATGGATATTACAAATCCGATGGTGAGAGTTCGATTCCCATTGGATGCTTTTTTAAATGTCTTCTTCTTAACTTTTTTTTCCTCTTAAAAAGGTTTGTCAGTCATTCGGAACATTTGTCTTTTACCAATATGTGGTTTGGAGTGTTTTTTTTTCTCAAGGGAAAATAAAGTCCGAGACCCAGACTTGCAACTCAACGTACTCCGAAATGCGTACGGAAAAAAATCGCTTCCCGGCGCCCTGTTTGCAGGGCGGGGGGTACGAGCGAACCTCCCTATATGCTGCATAATAAGTCATGTCACGTCGTTGCTCTTCTTTTTTTTATAAATATATTTTACGACAAGATAGGTTTTACAACTGTGCAGTTGTTAGATGTGAGTTATGAATTCAAGTTATCGATGTGCAGTTGTTGGTAAGATAAATTTGATTTTTTTTTCCAGATAAGTTATCATGTCTTTTAATTGGCGATATATCATTTATGAAACATGATTTTTTTGGGGGAAATTTTTACAAGTTTCCATACTAAAGGTATAGAGCATTTTGTTCGTCATGAAATGATTGTTGCTGTAATGTTGACCACATTGATATCCAACTGGGAACAAACACTTCAAAATCTTCGCTCGTACCCCCCGCCCTGCAAACAGCACGCTGGGATACTCTGATGAATTAACGCTCTGATTGGTTGGATTTTGCGTGACCGGTGACGTCCAGGAAGTGGGTCTAGGCACTGTAAGACATGAACTTGGGGGTCACGGTAGCCTCGCCGGCGGTTGGACGCGTCGGCGGAGCTCCGCCATGCCGTCGGCGCGTACTGCTCGACACCCTGGGGACGAGGTTGCTTCGCTAGCGCTATGCATGCAGTCATATGTCTATGCATGTGGTGCATTTAAAATACAGCGCGAACAGCGACCTCAGTGGGGGGGGGGGGGGGGGGGCCGCTGGGGGGGGGGCGCTGGGGGGGGGGGGGCTGAAACATTTCATGGGGGGCGTCATGCAGGGGCGTCAATCGCTTCTCAAAAGTGGGGGGGGGGGGCGGACATACCTTGATCAGAACTGATGTGAAGCGCGAAGCCCTTAGGGTGTGGGGTTCGGGGCCCGCTTAAGGGCCCCGAAAAAAAATTTGATTCTAGATGTTCTGTGGTGTGATCTGAAGCAATTTCTTACCACTTTCCTCCATGTTAGTTTTCTTAGCAAAAGATTATTATTTGAACATCGTTTTCGATGTTGGAGTCATTGAATCAGCTATCGGTATTCTGAGCTATAGGCGTGGGGTTCGGGGCCCGCTTTAAGGGCCCCGAAAAAAATTGGATTCTCGATGCTCTGTGGTTTGATCTGAGGCAATTTCTTACCACTTTAACCAATAATTATCTTAGCACAAAAGAAAATAATTTAAACATATTTTTCGAGGTTTTCTCAACTAAAGGCATAAGAAAAAATTTTGAACATTGTTTTCGAGGTTGGAGTCATTGAATCAGCTACCAGAATTCTTAGCTTTAGGCGTGGGGTTCGGGGCCCGCTTGATTCTAAATGCTCTGTGGTGCTATCTGAGGCAATTTCTGACCACTTTAACCAATGTTTTCTAAGCAAAAGATACATTGTAGTACATAATAGGGCCCTGTAAATGAGACACGAGTTTAAATATCTGGGGGGGGGGGACATTTGATATTGTGTCCCCCACCCTTCAAAAAGTGGGGGGGGGGGGACATGTCCCCTGTCCCCCCCCCCCAGGATTGACGCCCATGGCGTCATGTAGATCAATGATAATTTTTTTAGAAACTCAAAATCTCAGGGGGGGGGGGGCGACTGGGGGGCGACAAGGTTTCATGGGGGGCGGTCGCCCCCCCCCCACGCCCCCCCCCCCCCCGGTGGCTACGCCACTGCCGTCGGATAATCAGTGTAGTCGCCGCGCCGGCCTATTTATCCGCATTCCGTATATAGTGGAGCTGCTTAGGTCCATTTTTCTCCAAAATCGTGTACTTTGTGGTAAAAGCATGAAAATTGGCACCTGGGGTCAAAATGGGCTAAATCGTCTGAAGATCGGGGCCCATCCTGGATCTTGCCCATTTTGGGGGCGGAGCTTGACTTAAAAAAGGGGGTGCAAACAATACAAACTCATAAAGACTGTATTTAACATCCATTTCCCTTGTTTTTCTATGCTTTTAAATAAACTGAAACACAAAATAAGTCATTCTAGCATTCTAACACCTGCTATTTTCTGGATATGCCATTTTGGTAGATGGTCAAAACACCTTTTTTAAGCTCTTGCAGGAGCTTCTACGTGTCACTTGGTGGTCGGTCGGTCTGTCCGTCTGTCTATTCTCGAAATTTGAAAATATATACATGTATACCAAATTTTAATTTTCAGAAAAGCAAACAAAATAAATTAAATACTTAACAAAGATTGTAACAATTCGGAAAGATGTATGTGAAAAGTTTGTAAATGGAGGCAAAATATGTGCTGTAATGTTATAGTCACGTGGTATTTATCACAAATCGCTATAAATCTAGGTATACATCTAAAGTATGGTGTTTCTATTAAGTGCCATCGGCGTTAGTCTGGTTCCCAGACCATAAGATTCCGAGTATTCCTGATGAATCTTAGGTCCAGTAGCCTCCGGTAATACAATGTATTACAATTTACGTCACGTGACTAAAACGGGAGGAATTCCTCCTTTTTCCGAAAATTTCCGAAGTTTGCCGAAGTCGTTTCGCCGACAATCGGATAGCGCCCGAGTATTTCCGAGTATATAATATAGGTTTAATTAACTGCTAATTGCTTATTAACTTTATTTTAAATGAGTTGATAATTAATATACATTGTTTTCATTTAGAATACTTGAAATTCAACGACGATTTTGTGCCGCATCAAATATACTCGGATCGTACGGGCGAACTTTTTGCTGCGTCATGTACAATTTTGAATTTGACGACCGTTACCGAGATTTTCCAAAACTCGGTCTTCATTCGGCTCCGCCTGCTAACAGTGCTATTTGGTTCCCTAATTTTGAAGATTCCAGATCAACATTACTCAATGTTATCTTAAAAAAAAATTCAAACTGTATTATCATAACTGTATGATATTACGAAGCAAGTGATTTATTTAAAGATTTGATCAGAACATTAAAAGCTACAAGTGATAAAGCGAAATCGGAAACGAAGCCGCGCTTTGAAAAAGGGCCATTAATGTCGTCATGTTTATTTTTAGCCACGGAGGCTGCCTGACCTACAATTTAAGACGTGAGCGTCGGGAATAACAGACTACCATCGGCGTCGCATTACATTTTTTGGGCGTCGTATATTTAAGCTCTGGCAGGGATCGTTTCGATAGATTTTATGCAAGACTTTCAGGCAAGACGGCCAGAACTTATTGTGCACTCACACTTGTTTGCATTGTTCGAACTTTTTTTCCAAATGCTTTCAACTTAACAAAGATGTTGTTTTTGTAAGTTTATATTAGCCATCGACTGAATTCACATTTTATATTCGAGGCACCGTACGTTAGGAGGCGCTCTGACCATCGTTTTGTGTGAATTATTTTGTGATTTGCCCCCAGCTCATAATGAGTGTTATCTGGTGATCAGGTGCAACTGTGCAACCCGATCACCATTCTGAAATGGTTATAAGGGCGGTCGGCATCCTGACCAACATAACATTTCTCTTTAAATTAACTCAAAAAAAATAAGAAATGATACACCCAAAATTGCCATTTCTGTAATCGACAGAGGGCGAAAGACTTCGTACCCTGAGTCCGCATATCCACAGATAAACAGCGCATGCATATTTGCGCTGCAATTTCATTCGATGAATCAGGGTGCATTGTGTCCGCCAGCCCCCCCCCCCCCCCCCCCCCAAAAAAAGGAAGAAAATCTGATATTGTGGGAGGGGAGAAAAAAGGCAGTGACCACCGATCGAGTGTGGGGTTCAGTTAATATTTCTAATTGAAAATAGCATAATGTTCGTGTCGTTTTCTGCTAAACGAGAATGTCATTTAATTTGTTATGTCTTTTTACGTAAACCAATATTGTTCTAAATTAAGTGTAGTTACATGCATCACACAAAGTTTTAAGGATTAAAAACTTGCCTTCAAATATCTGTCTTGCAATTTGTTTCTTAGTCCTCACGTTTATAAAGTTATAGCAATATGAATCCCACAGACAGCCCATTGTCTTTCTCAATGCTCTAAGTTGCGAACAAAATCAGGTCACCAACATTATGGTACAAATAATATGGTCTTGACTAATACTCTTCTGTTGCTTAGTCAGCCAGCAAGCGATATTAAATGCCTCGCCTGAAGCATTGTCCCCACGCTTATTAAAATTGGCTACTTAAATCTGGATTGTTGATTTGAACTAGCCAACAAAGGTGTTGCCATAGAGATTAATTTTCTGCTTCCCCTTTATACCGACGAAACAACAAAGTGGGACGTAAGCAACAAGATCCATTGTTTGCCGCTTGGATCAATATCATTTTGCGTCAGACAACTCCCATTACTAAATTTGCCTCTTTTGTTGATGGACAGTTGATTTTGTTGACTTTTTTTTCACAAGGCATATCTGGGCCAATAAGCAAACAGAGGTGTTACCATAGAAACTAGTTTTTGTCATTGCCCTCATAACGCCAAGATTTAAGTGTGCATGACCATAGCAACAAGATGCATTGTTTGCCGCGTTGATCCATATATTACTTTGCGTCAGACATCTCAGGGAATTGTTGCTGGGACCAGTCCAGTCTTCATTCCCATCATTCGACCTCTCTGTGGAAACACTCGGTACTTGTGTGGGGAACACATCTGATTCTTGCTCAACTCTATTAAAACGAATCACCATGTACTTGCTTCACATGTTCGGCATTGTAGCTATTACTTCAGCGATCAATGCTCAATTTGGGTCAGGTTTCTGCCACTCTCGGCTCACTATGGAATGCTCTTGCCCGCCACAGTGGCAATTGTGGGGAAAAGAGTGTTATCGCCTCACTCCTCGGGTGGCGCAAACTTGGGATCAGGCCAAGTCGGCTTGCCGAGACTTAGGTGGCAAGATGGCTTCTCCTCGATCGCTGGAGGAAATGAACTTCATGACAGATATGGCACGGGAGATGGACGACACTGGCGACTACTTCGTCTGGATTGCTTGTAATGACAGGGAAGTTGAAGGAATTTGGGAGTGTGACGGTCAGGAAGGAATTGAGCCCTTCCTGGAATGGGATATGGGGCAACCAGATAACAATGGCAATCAAGATTGCGTTAATATGGCCGAAAGACATAATGACAGAATGGATGACGCTGGCTGTGAGAGTACGTGGCCCCATATGGCTTTTTGCATTCGTCGAGCTGCTTGCACTTACGGCCTCATCCAGCTCCGTCACTAATGCATCTCTACCGACACCCGTACGGCCGCGTTCTCAACTCAACCTGCCTCCTATACCCAGGAGCCTTGTCACCGAACGTGTTGTGCGCCTTGACTCGGCCTACGTCGAGGTGCGCAGATGTCGCTCCTTGTGCATCGAGAAAATGGAAGAACTGAATAAAATATGCCAGCTAAACAATACTTTACATAGTCGGGTATCAAGAACATGTTTAAAACAAAATCTGGTTAATTCCAGATGCATCGGAATGTTATAAATAAATGGGACAGTAACGGAGATGCTTGCAAACTTGAATTTGAACTTATTGGGGAAAAAACATTGACTTTTTGCAACAAAACATTCAGTGCATCAAAAAGGTATAGGTAACATTGTTTCCGCTCTTCAGAAAAAACCCCAGCCAGGATGTTTTATGAAGTAAGCAAGGTAGGCAAATAGTTTGTGCTCATTATGAACGAGATAGCAACTGGATTAAAATATAATTTAACTGAACAACGTGCGTTTTGCATTTCGCTTTTATTGGTAAACGAACGCTGCGTTTCTGTGTCATTTAACTAAAAGTGTTGAAAGTGCGTAATGACAACCTTAGAAATATTAGTAAACGTGCATTTTCTTGATTTCGTTGATATAATTTACTTTCTTAGAAGGATTGAATCTTACTTGGTTTAGAGCTAAGTCTGCTTGTGTATTCGCCTGAGATTATTAGAGATTGGTGTGTATTTGATCGTTGTAGTTCTAAAAATAAAATGTACATATTAAATACTTTGGTGTTTGATCGTTACAGATTGAAATTTTACATCAGGAACTGTCGATTTGAATTATATGGTCATGACTAGTAACAAACGTTAGCCATGTTTTTTTTTACAAGAATGGTAGAGCCATTATTTTGATGGCCGATGTTGATTGACAATACCCAACTCAATTGAAATGTATGAACATCTTTTTTCCCCTTCATTTATTGTGAATTCGTTGAGACTTTAAACATAGTATCGTTAATTGTATTTAGCTTTCCTGTCAACTGAAAATGAAAATTGAAGCTTGTCAGTTATGTAGTCATTTTGTTAGGCGCAAACGAATTGTGCATTTGCAATTTGGCCTAAATGCGCAAGTTTTAGGGCATGTATACTGTAGTGACAAAGCGTTCCGCGCGGCTATTTCAGAGTTTTTTCCCGAAAAATAAATTCATTTTCTAAATTGCTAGTTTTTTAGCAATACAAAAGTTAACTTTTGAAAGAGACACCGAATGAAAAAAATAACATTTCTAGCCATATTTAGTTATTGAGTTATTATTTAACGATTTCGTATAATTGGCTCGGCTGCCAGACAATAATTCCGTTCGCGCGGGTTAGGCTGGTTTCCGCCCCACAATCAGTATCGATAATGTATGAACCGGTAGCCAGTCTGCGCGAAAAGAGGGTCTGCCAGACAATAATTCCGTTCGCGCGGGGTAGGCTGGTTTCCGCCCCACAATCAGTATCGATAATGTATGAACCGGTAGCCAGTCTGCGCGAAAAGAGGGTCTGCCAGACAATAATTCCGTTCGCGCGGGGTAGGCTGGTTTCCGCCCCACAATCAGTATCGATAATGTATGAACCGGTAGCCAGTCTGCTCGAAAAGAGGGTCTGTTTGTGCCCAAATCAAAAACCTTTTGTGTTGCAGACATCCGCGAAAAGGAGGAAGGAATTTTGTTGATGCGCGGGGAATGCAACTTTAACGCGTATATATAATCGATGTGATCCACTTGAATTCCAGGTGTTTCTGATTTTAATAGTAGTTAGCGGACATTGTAATTCAGTTTCAACTCGATTGAATCACGTTTTAGGCCATCAGCCTCGGTTCAAACTTGGCCACCGGTATCAAAATGAGGGGAATAATCGTCATAGCGATTTTTGGCAAGGTATACACCTCCGGAGTTGGAAAATAATTATGTGAAAGCATTGCAGCGGTGGCAGCTTTTTGGATGTTATCACCCTTTTTCTCAAAATGTCCATCAAAATGCTTGTTACCACTTTAGGGGTGGGCCTTGCGCATGCGCACTATAATCGTTTATGCCCTGATTTGATACCGACCATTTACCCCCAGGCTGATGGCCTATTTTGTTCGGAAACAAGTGCGAGTGCACAATATGTTCTGGCCGTGTTGCAAAAAGTCTTGCATGAAATCGATCCAAAAGATCCCTGCCAGCTTAGAAATGCGACGGCGAAAAACACCGTACTTTTGGTCAATTTTCGGGGCAGACAGACAGACCATCCGACCGACCGACCAGTGACACGTACAAGCTCCAAGGCCAGAGAATGCACCCACTTCTAGTAACAGCAAAGGGTTCCGTCGTAAGCGCTGAAATGCCTCAAAATATAACCACAATAGCCGAATCATGTTGGAAAAATATTTATGGATAGTTTTATATCAACAACTATCCTTACCCAGATAACTCGCTGATTAACAATATAATGTAAATGAATCGTGATAACCTCGCAGTTTGACACCCCTAAGAGAGTTTTTGACCCCGCCCCTCTGCTACTTGCGACTTTCTTTTGAAAATGTCATTTCAGACCAAAATAAAATAGTTCTAATTATTTTGGGACTCACATCATTGATTTGAAAATCTCGTAATCAATAACAAAAATAAAGGATGTAGGCAGTAGGCATAAAAGAATGAAAGTTTCATCGATCGAAACTTTTTCTATAGGTCTGTTTAATTTCAGGCTAGGCTACATGTATAAATTGTTTTTATGCCAGTATTATTAATGTTGTTACTGCTCTGATCCTGTGGTTTTGAAAACTGATTTTGTTTTGGAAACAAACTAGAATGTCTGGACAAGTACATTTTGAAAATCGTTCAAATCGGTCGGTTGCTAAAATGTACATCACATGATCACTACATTAATCTCAAAACTCTAGATCTGTGTACTTCATAATAGTTCATAATAAAATAATATATGTTGTAGTAACAAAACATGAAGGCCTCACAGTCTCTTGTTATTTTTAGGCAACGGTCACGTGATCTATGGGAAAGCGATGGGATGTACATGTACCGTGATGATCAAACAGCACAAAAGAAAATTAACGACGGATGATATGTCGGCTCTTAAATCTACTTTCAAACATAATGTCCCTAGTGACAATTTCTCTCCCTGACTGATAATGCTATACAGAACGTTTTCCTGTCCCATCGGCGACAAATTTGCGAGAAGACACTTTATGGCATGTCAACTCTTCAAAAAAGGCACTTCAAAGATACAGCAGTGTGCACATCCCCCGCCCAATTATTATAAACGGCGGTTGGTGATCTCTTACCAACAAGATGACCGGGGGGGGGGGGGGCGCACGTACGGACCGTCAACTTAATTGGAAAACCGAAAAGCGCGGGGGGAACGGTGGCGGATCCAGGATTTCCCAAAGGGCGGGGGGGGGGGGGTTAACCTGTGCGGGAAGTTTTGTTGTGACACGTACACTATAACTCGCGAAGCTAGCCACGGCGTGGGGTTCGGAGCCCGCCTACCCCGAAACTTTTGAACTTGGAAGAAACATTTAGAAATTCTTCAGCATTTAAGCATTTCGTGGACCATTGCACTTCGAGGGTTTGTAAAAAAAAATAAAAAAAGGTAGAAGCCATGCACAGGTCTGTGAGCTTCTATTTCTTTGAAATTTGGATGAAATTGGGGCCATTCATTAAAAGCGCTCTATTTTGCAATGGAGTGTAGGCACCGTTTTTGAAAATAGCGATAAGCTAATATCTCCGAGAAGTCATGAGATTACCCCCAAACAATTGAAAAGAAAATGATAGATAATGTACTAAGCTTTAATTTGGTGTGTGTCTCCGCCTGTCTCGAAAACCATGGAGACGGTTGTGAGTATTTTTTATCCGAATTTCTGAAGTGTGGGAATTTATCATAGGGGTCTATGGCAGTTTATAACACCTCGCCCACAGATTCTGTGTCTCGATTGGCCGAGAGCAAGTCACATGATACTTTCTATTTTTGCTATCTTTCTGTACACGGCCAAAAGTACTATGCCCATAGCAACCAAAGTACTATACCATTAGCAACCAAAGTACTATTTCCACGGCGAGGTATACGTGTGCAAATGCATGCTGGTGTGCGCGTTACGCGTTGTGCGTAGCGCGTTTTGTTCCAAAGAGAGCGCGCAACTGAGTTGGGTTCAAACATTTCGTGAAGGGGTAGTTTGGAAGAGAGAAATACATTTTCCAACAATTTTGTATTGAAATTGAAGTCTATTTCAACTGTGTTCAGATTTAAATAATTTAAAACCTTAAAACCAAGCAGAATTTTTGGTGAAGTGTAATAAAACAAATATTGAATGCTTTATCTCGTGGTGAAGTAAAACTAGCCTCCCGAGGTGATCCATGGAGCATTTTATTTTCCCTTCGCCTCGGGAAAATAGAATGTCCATGGATCACCTCGGGAGGCTAGTTTTACTCATAGATATAGACCGCTTGCAGACGCGTTCGATAATTGACGCGCTAAGGTGAGCGACGCCATGTTATGGGACAAAATGTGCGTGAATTGATATACGCCTGTCCCACAACATGGCGTCGCGCGCCTTCGCGCGTCGATTATCGAACGCGTCTGCAAGCGGTCTGTAGAATAAAAAGACTAGATCGGCAGCGCGTCCACACGCGCAGACTTTCATGGAGGGTCACGTGCTGGAGGAAAGATACAACTAATGCGCGAAAACGTGACGAACGCAACGCAATACTCGGTGCGCATTTCGGGCTTCGCGCGCGTTGAGCTTGGTCACGTGCTGGAGGAAAGATACATTTAGCTCCACTACTTTACGTTAATTAGTTGCGCGTCCACGAGGGACAACTAAAATGGCGAAGATTTATCGCAAAGTGAACGGGCGCGTGTGGACGAGCTGCCGATCTAGTCTTTTTATTCTATATCTCTATGGCTTTACTACACCACTCGAATATGGCGTGTCAAACGTTGCAATATTCAATATTTTGCAATATATATGTTGGATGTTCAATATGTGTTTGTTAT